CAGAATGGAGCTAATGGACACCTGTGCCTTATTCCTGAGTCCAGTGGAAAAAGGCTATGGTTTCAATAGTAAATGAGCTAAGGTGTACAGACTTTTATCCTGTTATGCAAGAATCCATCAGTTCCTATTGAATTCTTTCTATCAAGATTTTTAAAAAAATTTTATCCCTGCCATTCAGGCAGACTCAGGATACGATAGCATAATTATTTTCATAGATATTTATGGATTTCCTAAACTGGAACCATCCTCGCATTCTTGGAATAAATCTTACTTTATCTAAATCTCACTCAGTTTGCTATTTAGGAATTTTTCATCAATGATTATATAAATATTCATAAATGAGATTCCTTTGCAATAATTTTAATAGACTCACATTTTCTTGTATGCCATAATAGACTCACATTTTTCTTGTATGCCATAATAGACTCACATTTTCTTTGTATCCCATAATTTCCTTCACTAGTCCCCTCCCCCCTTTTTTGCCATAGGGCATGTACACTCACCAGGGAGAGAGAAAGAGAGAGGGAAAGTGAGAAATAACTCTCTCAGAGAATGGCCATACCACAATCCCTTTTCCTCTTGGAATTCCGGGCACACACGCACACATGCCCAGCATGATTCTCAAGCCACCAGGTCCAGGACTTGAACTATGATCAACCATGTAGGATTCTAGCATGTTAACCACCGTGCACTTGCTGGTCCCTTTAGTCCTCTACTCATGACCATTTAGATTATTCCAGAGATTCATTAGTACCAATACTGCTCATGAGGCCAGCTGGTGCACAGTGGTGAAACATGATGCCCTGCCATGCAATTCCACATGTGACGGTTCCCTGTTCAAGTACAGAGCCCTCCCTAAGTATGCCAAGCACACATGTGCCCATGATCTGGGGCTGGCTGAAGGCTGGAGGTGATCATGGTATCAAGATCCTAAGGGTTGTCTCTCTCTTTTTCTCTCTGTGTCTCTCTTGGTCATGGAATAAATAAACAAAACTTTAAAATGTCAAAAATCAAAAGCTGAATATGAACTGGAGAAAAAAACCTATGTTTAAATCCCTATGAAAAATTCATAGACAGGGATTAACAGAAATTTTCATCTTATATTTTATGAGATTGTACTGCTTCCCCAAAATGAATTCTGGAATTTTTAACTTGATGTGGAACCTCATTAATTCCTTTGCATTAGAAAAGGTACTGAAAGTTTACTCTAGGAGAAGGAAAGAGAAAACTTTTCTGCCTAGCTTTCTTACTCTCACATGAGGTTTGTAGGCATTGTTAAAAAGAGTAAGTGAAGGAATCAATGTTCTCAGTTTACTACTGAGGAGCTATCTGGATACAGATTTATTTATTTATTTAGAGATTTTTGCTATAGGACACGTGCACTCACCGGAGAGACAGAGACAGAAAGCGAGAAATCACTCACCGGGGGAATGGCGCTGCCACAATCCCCTCTCCTCTATCCTCCTCTTGGGATCTTGGGCATGCATGTACATGTTTCCGGTGTGAGTTTTAAGCCTCCAGGTCTGGGACTTGAACTGCAGTCAACTGTGTGGGAGTCTAGCAATGTAACCATTATGCCATCTGCTGGTCTCGAGACATACTTTTAACCTATTTCTCATATGTAAAGGGTGACCAAAATTGTAAGGCTCACAGATTTCATGAAAATAAATTGAGATAGTGGATATAAAATTTTACACACATGCAAGATATCACAGGCAGAAAAATCTGATCATGCTTGTGGTTACTTATCAATTAACATTTACAAGAAAACTAGTCATTTAACTTCGACACATAAGAGTTGATCTACTATGTTTCAAAGTCTCGCTAACCCTTCCAGGTGGGATGGAGGGATGAAGAACAGAATTTATCGAATGCTATGGTGAACCTGTGTAAAGGACCCTGCAGGCATTTCTACTCCTTCTCCCTTGCCTGTCTCTCAGTACAGAGGCTGAGAAAGTTATATACTCATTTTCCTAGTCACTCTTGGAGCTAAGGGGGTAACTGGTTCTGGCCTTGGAAATCTAAGGAAAGTCTGTAGGGAAAAAGTATCTTCTCTTAACAAAGACGATAGTTCCTGTCCCATTCCAATTCCTTCACTTGCTCTCTTGAATCTGGCTGGGTAAGGATATAATGCTTGGAGCAGAGGCAGCCACCTGGAAACCATGAGGCAACAGGTCAGCATGCCATCTTGCAAGTATGACATCACCACATTCTAAGAACAGCAGAGTAAGGAGAGGGAAAAGTCTGGGGCCTTGATGAAGCTATTGAGTCAGAGGACATTCATCACAGGAATTCTGGAGTAGACAAGGACCATCCTCATGATTTAAGGAGCTGTTAGATTTTCTGGTACATGTAGCTATATCTTCACTGAAATTAGCAAAAATCACTGCTTTCCAGCAATACTTATCTGATTCCTTACAACGGTCCTATGAGAGGCCTTCCCTTTTGGAATGAATAGGATCTAAGAATGTAGTCAATTCTAGAATCCCAAACAGCAGAGCCCGAACTGGACATCAGTGAACCTAACTAGCTACTGCCTTAATGACCAGGAGGCTATTGCTTTTCTGTTCTGAATTGGAATAGTCAGGAAAAAAAAGGAAATGTCTGAGGCAGTGATGACGGATGAGCAAAGTCAGCAGTCTTTCATGCTTCTAATAGACGACAAAATATGAGGCTCATGACTTAGCAAATAATGAGGCCAAGACTGGACCCAAGGTCTTCTCCTCTATCACCATGCCCCTTTTCTCCCTCTACAGCGGGTAGGAGTGATTCGTCCTGTCCATGGCGGACTGCTTGACTATCTGAAATATATTAAATCACAGAAAAGAAAGTAGGGAAACCTTATACTGCATTTTGAAAGGACTTTGTCTTTTATGGAAGAAGTTAGACAAACTTTGGATTCACTTAGTAGGCATGATAAATTAGTAATGTGGCCAGTCTCCGACTCTCAGGAGGAAGAACTGAGCTACGGCCGCTTGCCACTCTGGTGTGTGCTGTCTGCATGACACCCTACGGTAACCACAAGACACAAAAAAAGGAAAAAGGAAAACTGTTTCAAATTGTTATGTTCGACACAAAACTCATTGAGCACATTGATGTCATCACAATAAGAAAAGGAAAACTGAACTACTGTAGAGCTTAGTCCAAGGAGTTGTAAAAATCAAAGAACGATTACAAGTGCGATTCAAGAATTCAAGTGGTTCTCGCTGCTTGAATTCTAGTTCAGAAGAGGGGAGAGTGCTCAACAAATTGCAGAGTTTTTTCCCAAGAATATACCTGGATGGACCCTGGCAATGTGCGGGCATGTATTCTTCCACCTGATGAATGAAAACAAGACAACTTCTCATGAGACAATAGTGCAGGCTACTTTTCGGTACCAACCTCATTAGCACTGAGATACCTGGGGTTGCCACAGTGCATATCAGGGGTTTCGAGAGCTGCACAGCAGGGGCACTCAGGAGGGAAGGGGAGGGAGTGCACAGGCAGCGCTGTGCTTTCAGGAAAAATGCTGTCCGTTCCCACCATGCTGAAATACAGACTCACTTCACGTTCAGTGCATTTCTAACATAATAAATATTGCTTTTACTTTCTCTGGGATTTGAGACTGGCCATGTTTACAATACATGGAATAATATGTGACCACAAGGATAGTTTTCTGATGAAAAACATAATTATCGAGGTAAAAAACACACTGCAATGCTTTGGGGAATAAGTGAAAAAAAAAAAAAAACAGAGAGTGACTAAGAAAGTGTTATTCTAGAACTCAGAAGAAACAACGTGAAGTCATGAAAAGGCTAAATAAAGAAAAGACAAACTGGAAGGACAGATAAGAAAACCAATTGTCTACACACAGAGAGATCCTTTGAGGAACAAAGAGAAGACAGCATAAAATCTCTAGATATTGCAGAGAAGATTTCTCTAAAGCTAGACATAGTCTGACGAATTAATAAAGCTCAAGGATGGAGCCAGCAGGTGGTACGGAGGTTAAGGTGCTGGATCCTACATGACTGGCTGCATGGTTCTAGTCCCAGACCAAGTGGCTTGAAAAGCATGCCAGACATGTGTTCATGCCCAAAACCCCAAGAGGAGATTGGAGGAGAAGGGATTGTGGCATGACCACCCCCGTTGAGTGATAACATCACTCACTTGCTCTGTCTGGTGAGTACACATGCTCTATAGCAAAAACCTAAAAAAATGTTCAAAGATAATGGAAATACTCTACAGAAACTTGGACAGAAAAACATATATGTTAAAACTAAGCCCAAATTAGTTTGCTATCAGACTTTTCTTCTAGAATACTAAATGTCATTTAAAATGTTTAAGCACAAAGACTATTGGTAAGCAATGAACTGTGTATATTCCAATAAACTATGGCAATGTAAAACAGCAATTGGTAGAGGCTCTTAGACATTCAAAGTCTCTTGAAAGTATACAACCCTAGTTCCCTTTCTGAAGAAAAGTAATTGGATACATTCTTCAGCTGACCAAAATATGAATCAAAAGAATTGATTCAGGTAAATAAGAAAATTTCTATAAAAAAATCCCCCATTGAGCAGTAAAATGGTTTATATTATTTTTTTCATAGAAGACCTTGTGGCAAAGCTCTGTAGAAGTTTGTACAAACACACATACTATAAAAATTCCTCTATGTTTTAATAAGTGCAGAAATTGACCTTTCAGAGCCTTGATTCCACATGGTGAAAAAGTCTATTAATCACCAAAATACATGAATTCTTTTCAACATACTAGGGGAGACCTAGATAGATGCTTGTCCTGTACAAAAGGAACAGTGTCCAATGTTGGAAAAGTGGCTTCCCAAGCTTATTTCCTAATTCCTTAAGGAGAGCTGAGCTCTACAAGGGTGGCTCCCTGTGGTCCCGAGGGTAAACCAGGTCATATCTGCTGGTGAGAGGAGGAGAACTGCTGTCTAAAAGTACAGAATGTGTGGCAAAGAGGTAGAGGGCTGGATTCCATGGCCACTGGAAACACCTCAACCACACCAGAATCCAGCACCTGACGGGACATTTCAATGGACATTAAGTCAGGTGGACTCTGTTCCCTGCATCCTTTGCTTCCAGGGATGCAGGCTGGCAGAGATGTTGGCTGATCCTCTACCCTGCTTCTCCTAAAACGGAAGCTTCCATCCTTTCATCCTCTGTACATTTGGGACCACTGCCTCCCCACTGTCCCTGTGCCCTGGAGATTCCAGTGTAGGTTTTTGCTTCCTTTGATTTCGACCATGCTGAATGGCTCTAGGAGCCTGAGCTTCTTCCCCAGAGGCATGTCTGCCATTCTCAGCATGGACATCTCCTTTCATGAGCACCGTGGTAAGACTCCCTGGACCACAGGCCTGTGATCCCGGAGGAGCTCAGCGGTGTCTCAATAAGGAAACTGAACGTTGTAGAAGCTCTGGAGTTGGTGCAGGTGGCCTTGCCCTCCACCACCGTCCCTGCAAAGATCATCACACAGCCCAGGAAGGCCTTGTATCCCAGGGCTGTTCTTGGATGTGGCGATGCCGCAGCTCTCCTCCTAAGTTACATTTCTCCTGGAGCTGCCAGTGCCACCACAGACCAAGGAATGAAGGCTATATGCTGCCATCTCCCCATCTGCCAGCAGCATCCTTGGCAACTTCTGAGGTGCCCCAGAGCGGCGAAGGCTCTGGGAGAGCATGGAGCACTGCTCTGGTGCCTCTCCAAGGGAAGCGTTCAGCTCTCGCTGATTGGCAGAACTGACGCTCTGGAACTGTCCCAGGAGCTCTAACTTCTGCCAACACAAAAGCAGCCTCTGGGCAGGAGAGGAGTCACCTAGGCCGCGGTGTGGGGGACCTGCCTTCTTCTTTTGAGGTCTCTCTGTCCTAGGAGTCTCTCCTTTGTTCAGAGGATCTCTTTTTCTTTGGAGGGTCTGAGGTATCCCGATACAGATTCATTCCTCTTCTTAAACGTCCCAGTCAGTTCACTGAGGCACGGAGTCAGAGAAGTCGCTGGTGCTTAGGAAGGATCCCATGTCCATGCTGGGAGATAATCTGCAAGATTGAGATTAAGAGGCAAGAGAGTCCCCAAGAACAGTGTTTGATGACAGAACAGCTGGGGTGTGGCTCACGGATGAGAGGAACCTGGGGATCCATTCTCTGGGGCCATGATATGCTTGCTGGATAGCTCTACTACATAGCCCATAGCCCATAGCCCATAGCCCATAGCCCATAGCCCATAGCCTTGCTTAGGCTTTTTTTTTTTTCGGGGGCGGGGGGGGGAGAGGTTTTTGCTATAGGCCACATGTGCTCGCCAGAAAGACAGAGAGCGAGACAGAGAGACAGGAAGTGAGAAATCTCCCTCCCGGGGGGGATGGCCACATTACAACACAATCCCTTCTCCTCCATTCTCCTCTTGGGATCTTGGGCACACATGCACATGCATCGGGCATGAGTTTAAGCCACCAGGTCCGGGACTCGAACCACAGTCGACTACCTGGGAGTCCAGCGACATAGCCATTACACCAACTGCTGGTCCCCTCCTGCTTAGACATTTTAAAAAATATGAGTAGGCAGTGCAATTTGATGTCAAAAAATCATTCTTAACAAAAGAGATATATAGGATAAATTATAAGAAAGTCATGGTTTAAAATTTTTAATTATGAGAAAAAAGGATAGAAAACACATACCTACATTTTAGATATGCTTCTATAAGAAATACATAATCATCCTTATTTATTCTCCCATTCGCACATTTGAAAAAGTTGTCAGCCTCTGTCCTAAGGAATGAGAAAACAAACTGAAAATCCACTTTTCTGATATCAGAACATTATTCCTTTTGATCAGGACAAGTATTTATTTAGATCTCACCTGGCGTGTTGAAAAGAATTTTAAGTGTTCTAAGGTGCTGCAGATTCTGTGATGACTGTACAAAAAGCCCTGACCTCATGGTGTCTCACGTGAGGTGAGCTGAGGTAGGGGGGAGAGCTGGGACTTAAAAATGATTAAACAGGATGCCAGGGAGCTGTAAGTGCCCTGCACATGTAAGACAGTAAGGCAGGTATAGGCGAAAGCTGTGAGAAGGTACAGTTTAATTTGGGAGCAACAGCTTTTTTGGCAGAGGAGATCACGTGCCCAGGGTGAGCATGCTGAATCCATTGGCTGCAGTGGGTGGGCTGGTGACCAGCCAGAGAGATTAGGCATGGGGAGCTGGGGACTCTGAGGGTCTTCAGGCCCTCGAAAGGACATCTACTCTGAGAGCGATGAGGAGCACTGAGGTGAGTAGAGGAATGCCATGCTATCACTCAGGCCACTACGCTGAGGACAGACTAAAGGGTCAAGGGCACAGTCAGGACACCTGTCAAGAGGCTACTGCAAAAAATCCAGGCGAGAGATGACAACTATTTGGGCTAGAACAATAAGGTCGGATTCTGGGTATTTACCAAAATCAGGGTCAACAGAATTTGCTATAGAGCATCTGAGGCAAGTGAAAGAAAAAGAAAAGAAGAATAACTCCAAGGTTTTAGGATGAGCAAGTGGAGTTGCTATTAGCTGATTCAACATGAACAAAAACAAAACCAAAAAGCTGAAGGGGGAGTGCATTTTGCTTGGTTGCATTTAGTGTTTATTTGCAAGGAAGGCATTAGTTGAGTTTGAGATGACTACTAGAGATCCAAATGAAGAGGTCAGCTATAGTGAAATACACAAGTGTGTGGTTCACGGGAGAACTCCAGGCTGGAGACATGAACATGAGAGTTCCCAAGTGGAGATGGAATTTAAAGCCATGGCCTGGAGGAGATCAGGAGACAGTGAGTATAGCTGAAAAGGGAATGGAGGGATAGCCCGGGCTCTGGGACAGTCCACCAGAAATGGTCCAGAGAGGAGCAGGAGGAGCATAGGAGACTGGGAAGAAGAAATGAGGCAGAAGGAGGGAAAAAAGAGGATGGTGCCTGAAAACCAAGTGAAGAACAAGTACCAACATGGCGGAAACGACCTAGCGTAAAGTGGGGACTGACGGCAGAGGAGCTGCCGAGTTACGCGGAACTCATGGCTCCTGGCCACAGCATGTTCATAGCAAATGTGGACCCAAGTTTGACTGGGGAGTGTTCAAGAGAGAACAGAGGATGGACCCTGGAGTTAGCATTGAGATTTGCTTTAAATAGAAGGGGAGAATGAGGTTTTAGTTAGCGCAATCAAGAAAGAATATTTTTCTCTTTAAAGATGAGCAAAATGAAAGAAGTTATAAAGGGGGAAAATAGAAGAGTTTTACTGGAATTGGGAAAATATAAGACTATCACATTTTTTTCCCAGGAAAAACAAACCACTAATTGGTGGAGTATTTTCAGATCTTTGGGCACTTTGCCTCTGACCACCATCTTTAAGGTCAGCATCAGGAAAAAACAGCTGCAGGTCATTGAAGAGAAGGAAAGATGTTTTCGGAGCAGTGTGACGACCACTCTGGCTTCCATTTATTTCAGTCTTACACACCACCAGCCTCCCAACTCTTCTCGACTTATCTTCTTTGGCACATCTTCTGTGTTTTTCCTCACTGCCTCCTTCTCCCTCCCCATCCCGGGATCAACCCTCAGAAATCCAGGGTCTAGCCACCCACTGAATTAAGACTCTTAAAACAAGTTTTGTGTGCTTCCAAGAAAATTTCTTTCTTAAGGAAAAACATAGTATTGCACATCAGCATGGTTTATTCTTCAGGATCAAGAGGTCACAAACAGTCAGACTTCCTGAGCCAATAAAAGAAAATTCTAACTCCAGCCTTCAGGGACCAGGAGGAGGGAAGAGTCATTCTCCTACAATTCTGAAAATGGTGATTTCTTAATCCATGCAGAACAGGGTTTGTATCAAACCTAATGAACACATTATATTAATCTGTCCCCCTACTGGACTCACACACAACCTCTGAGGATATTTAATTCTCACCCTTAGAGAAATTCAAAAGAAAATAAACATACAGAACATTTAACCTGACCTACCCCTGCCTCTGGCTGAACAACTTAAACTGAAGCCATTAGGTGGGACCATGCAAGGTATCTGACCTGGATTGCAGACTCCACACAGGGTGAGGGGAGACGTCATGGCAACTGATGACTGGGATCCAGCTTTCTTACTCTGTGAGAAGGGACTTGCAAAAATAAAAGGGAGGAAACTCTCAAGCATATGGAGCTGAATTAGAGTTTGAGTATGAGGGCCAGCCTGTGGCGTGGTGGTTAGGGTGGCTGGATCCCACATGGCTAAACACTCAGTTCAAGTTCTGGACCCAAAGGCTTGAGAAACATACCAGGCGCATGTGCATACAAGTCCCAACAGGAGAGAGAATTGGAGAAGAAATTTATAGATGGCCATTCCCCAAAGAGTTGGAGGGTACTTTCTTACTTTCCCTGTCTCTCTCTCTCTCTCTCTGTCCAGAAAGTGCATGCATCCTCTGGTAAATTGGAAAATATATATATAGTATCAGTTTAAATAGCTCTATGGATTAGAACTGGAGATTGAGAAACAAATATTGCTGTAAATGTGTGTGTATGAATGTCTGTGTGTAAGTGTGTGTGTGTGTATCCAAACCTACAACCTCTGGCTCTGTCCCCTGGGAGGGACAGGGCCTGGGAGCACAGCAATCTGAGCAGTGAGCACCATCCCAGCACAGATCTGGACGTTCAAATATGATTCTCCAGTAAGCAATACCAGGGATCCTTGAAAAATGATTTA